GAATTAAATACGACTGGCTAAATAATGCCTATTCTATCTAATATGGCATGTTGCCCAAGTCCTCAAAATATACAGAGATCACATAAATATAAAAATACAATGCCACTGGTTTCTTTTTTGAGAAATAAAACATTTGATGATACATTTTTTTTTTTTTGTGAGAAAACAAGTATAGTGATAAGTGCAAATCCAGAGTTTCAGAATGGATGCTTGTATGCATTTCCGTTAAAAATATCCTCACTGAGTACTTACAGTTTCTCACATGGGCCCAGGTCTATTTTTAAGGGGCAGAATCAATAAGCCACTTTAATATCTTTTAGACTTTTCTTCCTACTGGAAATTTAGAATAATTCCCGAGTTACAGGCTCATTTGAGCACTTCACCAGTCCTATGAAATAGATCAGGTAGACTTGGCTGCCTATGTGGTACTGAACAGTGGGAATGGGCTCTCAGAGAAATAGTAGACCTTTCCCACCTTCAGATGCTCCCTGTCCACCCGGTTCATATAAATCAGACCAGGTGTCTCACAGAAGAGAAGAATGATAGATGTAATAAAAATACATCCTTCACAAGTCTCTTTCCTCTAGTGGTCAGATAGGGAAACAAATGAGGCCAGAGTCTCTATTCTGGTAAACTTGCTTTCTCTCTCTGATATTATCTGGATGGATTCCTCACACATGGACAACATAAAAGTGATGTTAATGTCATCCAGACATGTAGTAAACAATGAATCAGGACTATAATAGAGAATTCAGAAACTCACACAGTTAAAGCCACCTATGTCAACAGCATATACTGGAGAATAGACAGATTGAAGTTACAATGCTGGGAAATTATGTTCCACGGGTGGAAAAATGAGACTAGGTCCACATCACTCAACCTTCACAAAAGTCAATTCAAAATGAATAAAAGACCTTAATTGTAGGTGGACGTTTCTGTTCCACCCAGACTCTCAGCTGTTTAGTCCCAAATAAACAACAGAGGCTTATATTAATTATAAACTGTTTGGCCTATTGCTCAACCTTATTACTAACAAACTCTTACAACTTAAATTAACCCATAACTCTTATCTATGTTTAGCCACGTGGCTTGTTATCAGTAAGGCATTCTCATCTTGCTTCCTCTGCATCTGGCTGGCGACTGTGTCTCTGCCTTTCCTCTTCCCAGAATTTTCCTAGCTGGTAGCTCTGCTTATACTTTCTGCCTGGCTACTGGCCAATCAGAATTTTATTAAACCAATATGAGTGACAAACCATTACTGTGAACAAGAGCATTATCCCACATCACTTAACGTAAGACCCCAAACTTTAAAATTGCTAAGAGGAAAGACTTCAAGATATATAGGGATTTCTGTAAGGGACTCCAATAGCACAGGAAATAATCCCAAGAATTAACAAATAGGTTTAAATGAAATCAAGAAAATCTTCAGCACAATATAAACTTGTGAGCAAAGTAAACAGCCTACAAAATGGAAAAGAAGTTTGCAAGCTTCACATCACACCGGGAACTAAAATGGAATATACATAAGGAACTGCAAAATCTAAACACCACCAAAAACTCTAAGCACCAAGAGTTAAGACACATGATCCCATCAATAAATGTGATAGTGACCTGAACATATAGTTCGCAAAAGAAGAAATATAAATGACAATAAATGCTTTAATAGATGTTCAACATCCTTAAGCATCAGGGAAATGCAAATGAAGACTTCACTGAGTGTCCACCTCACCCTAGTCAGAATGTGTATGATAAAAACGAACATACAAAAATACAGTAAGTGGTGGTGAGTTTAGGAAAGAACTCTATTCATCCCTGGTGGGAATGTAGACTTACATAGCTACTATGGGATTCAATATGGAGCTTCCTCAAAAAAACAAACAAAACTCTGAAACTACTGCTGGCTGGATAAATGACTCAATAGTTAAGAGCACTAGCAGCTCTTCTATAGGACTTGGGTTCAATTCCCAGCACCTACATGGTGGCTAACAATCACATGTTCCAGGAGCTCTGACGCCCTCTTCTGGCCTCTGCGTGTATCAGGTACACAAGTAGTGCTAGACATGCTTGCAGGTAAAAACACTGGTGCACATAAAGAATAAATTAATTAAAGAATTAAATAGAACTGACTTATGACCCAACTATATCATTCTTGAGTATGTTCACAAAGAACCTTGAGTCAACATACCACAGAGATACTTGCATATCCATGTTTACTGATACACTAATCACTGGAGCCAAGAAGTAGAAACAGCCTAGATCTATTAGCAGATGTGTGGACAAAATGGTATATATACACAATGGAATTTTATGCAGCCATAAAGAAAAACAAGATCATGACATTTGCAGAAAAATGGATACAAATGGAAATCATTATGCTAAACAAGATAAATAGACTGGGACAGATAAATATTCTTGTTTTCTTTCACATGTAGGACCTAGATTTGACATTATTTATATGCATGCAGATGTGTGTGTGTGTTTGTGCATCATAAAAGCAGAAAATAAGCCATGAGATAGCAGGAAGAGCTCTTGAAGTGGGAAACAGAGAGATTGGTAGATAGTCTATAGTAAGAATGTAAGAATGGGGGAGTAAATGAGGACGTAAAGGGAAGAGAGAAAGCAGCGGGAGGACATGGGAGGAAGGAAATGGCACGTATGTATGGGGAATGTCACCACCAGGTTAAGAGGGCTTGCTACAGTGTCCACATTGGCCATGCCATAACCACCAGTGTCTCCAGCACCAGATCTCACACCCTGTTGTGGCCTTCTCAAGAACTATACCAACACGCACTCACATCACTAAAAATTTAAAAATAAAAAATATACTCTGCATGCTAAGCTCATTCTTTTCAGTGGAATCACACTTCAGTCAGGGTATATTAATCTAGGATGGCGACCATCTCCTAACTCCTTTGGTGTCTCCAGCTCTGCTCGTGCCTTGTTGGCTTTCTTCCTGGTCTCTATCTTTGCCTTTGCCAGGCTCTTTCCTCTCCCTATCTCTGTAGCACCAGTGCCCTGGCATGGCCAATCCCCTGCCTTCCCACCCTCGATGCCTCCCTTCTCCATCTCCTTAGACTTATAAACCCCTGAGTGCTGATGACTCCAAATTCCAGCCTGACCCCCCTCAGAGATCTCCCTCCTTTTCCTGCTGCCTACACAGTGCTGAATTCAGACATCACCAGTAGCCTAACTTCACACACACAAAGCAGAATATATTACTATATATGCCTCTGTGTGTGTGTGTGTGTGTGTGTGTGTGTGTGTGTGTTATGGCGTGTGTACACATCCTCATATTGCTTCTCCTTGCTAATGGCACCTTGACCTGTCTTGTGCCACCCAAAGAACTTAGAAGTAGTGCATGCCCTTTTCTTCCATCTTCCTTTAAGGGCTCACCCCTGTCTGCAGACTCTAAATGTATCTGAAATGACCCCAGACTCTCAGCTTCCTTGGTTGACCTATTTTTGAGTTCACCTTCTCACTGTTAACTCCTATTTGCCTTCCAAAGAGGTATTGGAGTGACCTCTTCTAAGTGAGTATCAAAACCTTATGATCTGCCCTTGCTGAACCCCTTTAATCGTTTTATCTCCTAACAGTCACCTTCAGAAGTTCTGACTCCGTGGGCTGGAGCCTGGGGTGGGAGCCCTCGCTCACTCTGCCTGCAATGCAGCCACACCTAACTTCTCCCTGTTCCCAGGCCACCCATGTACTCTGACACTTTCCCGGACCTTTTCATTTCTGTTTGTGGAATGCTTTCCTTCTCCCTCATTCTTATGCCCTCCACCCTCCAGAGTTCTGCATTGAAATCTATACCCTGAGCACCTGCCGAGCCTCCCCCCACCCCCAAAAGATATGGCATGGCATGGGATGGAAGCACTTCACAAATCACCTCTGATAGTAGGTTCCCCAGCTACAGCAATTTGGGAGATGAGCTGGACTGCCTTCTGTAAGATGCTCACTTTTCAATGGCGTTTAACATAAAACTCATAGTTGTAAATACCATTTCAGTACGGTCTTTCGCCTTTGCTTTGGTGACAATGAAAACTGACAATCTATTTTTATCCTTTCAATAATGACACTATTAATAAATCCTGGACAGTATATTATTAGAACTTAATACCATAAAGGCCACATTCAGAAGGGAGGAAGGAAGATAGGTAGGTAGGAAGAAAGGAAGAAAAGAAGAAAGTCTTGCTAGAATAGCTATTCAGCCACGACTCCATACACCCACGCCCTCACCCCACTCCCACACATGCCTAGGCTCTGGCCAGGTTGCCAATTAAGTAACTTCTTACCATAATTACCTAGTCAACCTTAATGACTTTACAATTTCTGCCAGGTCTCACTGGTCCTGTAGGGTCATTATGGGGGGAGGGTTCAATTGTTAAAACAGCTGCTGTATTTCAAGCCGAAGAGGCTGGGTTCGCAAAAGCTCTGAAGGCTGAGGCAGGCGGTCTGAGAAGAGTTGCCTTCTGAGCTCAGCTTTCCTCCTCCAACCTCCAGCCTTCAGGATTGAACCTTTTCTTATACCTAACCAAGCCCAGAGTTCCTCTCCATTGTGCTTGCTCCCTTGGCTTTTGGACCCTGCAACGGTCCCGCGTGCGAGTTTGGTCAGTTCGTGCATCTTTGCGGAGGTCCCAGATGAGCCTTCCTGACATGCCCCCCCCCCCGCCCCGCCGTGATAGGGATCTGACTGTGTCCCGTGTGCCCCCCATCCGTCTTGTGTTAGGAGCTCTTAGTCGCTGGACTGTAATGCATGGGAGAGAGAGGCAGCAGGGAGCGAGTGTGTGTGTGTGTGTGTGTGTGTGTGTGTGTGTGTGTGTGTGTGTGTGTGTTGCACGCTGGCGCGCAGCAGGAGAGAGGGCGCGAGGCTGGAAGGGGGAGCGGCGGGCAGAGGAAGGCGGGGCGGCGGGCAGCAGCGGGCGGGCTGGGAGGGGCAGAGGCTCAAGCTTCTGCAGCGACACTCGGAGCCAGCTCGCACTCCTTGCCCGGAGCCTCGGGAGAGCAGAGCTCAGCCAGCCGCCTACGAGCTGCCCCCTCTGTCGCCGGTGTGCCGGGCTCTGCCTCAGCAGCCCGCGCCGGTGCTTAGCGAGCCCGCCGGTCCGCGGCCCCAGCTCCGCGGGCGGGTTCAGCATCCTCCCGCCACCCGGCGCCCGCATCAGCTCGCGCTGCCCCGCGACCTCCGGCCGGGCGCCACTGCCTACGCCACTCGCTGCAACTTCTGCAGCGGCCGGCCTTCTGCCCGGCTTAGAAGTTTGCAGCTCCAGCCACAAAGTTGGCACACTTGGACAATCGAATTTTGCCTAGAGTGCAGGTCTCCTCAGCTCGTGGATCCTGGTGCTTGCCATCTTGGTGGGATCCCGGGACCTGGACTTTCCCTGAACAACACACCCTCGGGGAGAAATAAATCAAAAAAAAACTTCCCTTTTCCCTCTAGGAAGAACGAGCGAGTTCTTTAAGGTAAGGAGCAAGGGTGAAGCAATCCTCTCTTCCCCGACGTCTTCGCGCGCCGGTGCAGATCTTGTCCGACCGCGTTTGCACCCACGCGCTGGTTCAGGGTCCCGGTTGAGGCGCGTTCTAACCCTGGGAAGGACGAGATGAGAAGCGCCTGGGCACGGTCATAGCTATCTCTCCCTGGGCTTGTCTGACGGGTCTATGGCTTGGACGCCCTGAGCGGCGGTAGGTGGGCAGACATTGCGCTAGGGATGGGGAGCGGGACACGCGGCATCGGGCTGCAGCGGGTCCCCGGAACCGCTGGCTTTATCCTAGTCTGCCTGGACACTGACTTTAGCCTGCTTAGGGTGGGCTTTTCTTTTCCTCCCCAGGTAGGAGGACCTCTCCCCGACTCTAGTTCTGCGGGTCTGGGTGTTGCAGGGGCGCGGGGGGGGGGCGGGTGGCCCGCATGGGTCTGCGAAGATTGCTGGACTCGCGGCGGGGAGCGTGAAGGCGGGCTCCCGGCAGACGGGGATGGCGCGGCAGTGGTCGTGATCTTCGGGGACTCGCCCAGGGACCCCGCGCTCTCTCATTTGTCCCCTGCCACCGAGGCCGGCCTCCTTAGAGAAACTTCTCTAAGCTGGGTGGTCTGGGTCCTGCGCATACTCGCCGCAACAGAGCAGAGCAGCTTCGGAGGTCCGGACGCCCTCCCGCCGCAGCGGCCACCCTGTGTGGCGACCTCCTCAGTCTGTGTACCCGCCGGGGAGCAGCCTGCTTTCAGACCCACTCTGCTCCCCCAGAGCACTTCTGGAACTGCTGGATTTGGGGTGCCTTTTCATTTTTGTCTTTTCTGCTTCTGCCCCACTCTTCCCCCCTTCCCCTTCCCAGGCTGAAGTGTGAGAGTTACCGAAATAGGTCCCTCCGGTAGCACCAGGGAGGCGACGTCCTCTGTGGCCTGAGCGCTTCTAAGCCAGTTCACCCCAATCCTCTACAGGTCCTTGGCCCTTTAGGGTTCTGCTCTGGGGACAGTTAGCTCACAGATACCAAGATCTGGGGTGAAAGTATGAGCCTTAGAAAAGTCTCTGGCTTTGATTTTTTTTTTTTTTTTTTTTTTTTTTTTTTTTTTAAGGAAACAGTTCTTTTAAATATCTTGCGGTGGCGATTTGTTCACTGCTTGTCTTTGGATCCATTAAGTCCCAGGGAATGAATGGCCTGTTTACTTGCCATGAGCTGCAGGTTTCCAACACTATACTTTCTCATTCTCTACCCCTCCTTCTACTTGCTTAATGGCCCCCTTTTCACGGTTTCGGAGAAGAGGATCTCCCTTCTTCCCCTACTCCTCCCATCGGGTCCCTTCGTGCCTGTGAGAACTAGGGGAGTAATCAGTGGGAATAAACAGGACCCCCACGCCATTCCCCGCCTGCCTTCTTCAAGCAAGTAAAACCCTTCCTGGGCTCACAGAAGTCTCAGAGATAAAACAGATGAAACATCCCTCCCTCCCGGGGGAGCTGTTGCTGAGGACTAGATGCATTTGAATTGTTTTATTATCCCGAAATAGTGATGGATGGGCGCAAAAGACAATGCGCATTTGGGAACAGAGTATGCTGGGGGAGGTCGGTATTTATTATTAAAAATTAAGAGTGCTAATAAGGCCATCGCCCTAGCTGAAGTCTGCCTTTACACCCAGTTGGTTTTATGTTAGTCTCTTATTACAGTGGTTTCCGAAAGGGCCAACACCACAACTCCCCACATTCATTCCACATATGGGATTAATCAACTGTCAAAAAAGATACTGTCATCGTACCAGTTTTAACTCGTGAACTTGTAGAAGGCTGCAACCCTATGAAATGTCATTTTCATCACTGCCTTTTCACAGTTTAAAAGACCTGGCAACATAATTAATCATGGTCCCAATTCCCATTTTCAATCTAAACCTATATTCAGGGTTATATTAGAATAGCCCATCACTCATTCTCTAAAAGTGACTCTTGTGAAACTCCATCCCAATTTGGGGGACGGTGGAACAACTGGGAACGCCGGGCCCCCAAAGTTATAGAGATTAGTACTGCTTCAAATTTCCATCAAAAACTCCTCTTCCGGGGCTGCAGAGACAGAAGACTGGCTCAGCAGTAAAGAAAGAGCTTTTGGTGCTATGCAGTTCTGTTCCCGAACCCACTGCAATAAACTCAACTCCCTGCAAGTCCAGGGCACCTGGACTTACCTACATGTAAGTGCCCATATGTGCACGCAAGTGTGTGTATGTGCGCGCGCGCACACACACACACACACACACACACACACACACACACACACTAAACAAAACCTTGAAACTCCTCTTTTTTCTTTATAGGGAGCCATTACCCATTCCTTCTCTGCACAGCTTTATAAATGAGTGTCCTTAATCTTCACCACACACGTGGAACCTAACAGACTGCAGCTTTGTCTGTATTCCTATTTTCATTTTTTTTATGCCAGAGCCTTTTCCTCATTAAACTTTTTTTTATGTCAAAGACTCAGGCTCATGGCAGCAACACTTTTTAAATTGGTAGCTATCATAAAAAAGTGCTAGAACTCTGGAATGGGCCTAAATTGCTATGAATTATATGTGGTTTAAGTTATGCATTTATTTCAGTAGAAATGAAAACACCTTTTAATCACCAGCTTTTATCTCTGTAGATGTAACAAAAGTGTAATTTCAAACCATTCTTGTACGAACAAGAGAAGCCCCACCCTTGGTTTGTTTTGTCCTGTGTCTGAGCATCCATGTGCTAAGGTATGACTCTTAGAGAAAAAAAAAATAAGAAAACAAACAAACAAACAAAAAAAAAACCCTCACACCACAACTTTGTTATATGGTATAGGGGAATGCAACATGCCAGGGGTCCAAAACAGGTTGGTCTTTGTGTAATATAGAGATTTTTTTCATTAACATTATGAACTTGGCCCTTTTGACTTTAGGTTTTCTTACATGGGATTATGAAACAGACTTTGCCTGTGGTGGCAAAAAACACTTAGTTTAAAACTCTACCGAATTATTTGAACTGAAGGAAAGATATCCGGTATTGACTTCTTAGCAGTTCTAGTTTGCCTACGCAGAGGTCAGAATGCTCTGTTTTACAGCTGACTATGTTACATCCTGCCTCCACCCAGTGCTTCGACTAGAATGCAAGCTTTTCAAGTTAATACAGGGAGAGATTGGCAGTGGTTATCAGAAAACATGAATTGTATGTGAATTCCACAGATTCTATTATGGTGTCTTGTCCTTGGTTTCTCTGGGATGAGGTGGCTGACACTTTCCCATAAGTATTTTTTTTTTCCTGATTTCTCGCCGTGTCTTGTTTGAGAACTGTAAATTCACAGAAGCACCCAGTTAAGGAAGCAACCCTACGAATCACTAGGAAGAACATAAGAGGCACAGTCTTTGTGCTGGTTCAAATGCAAGCACAAACAACACAAGTCATTCCATCAGCTCATGATTCTTGAAATAGTTTCTCTGATGTGATCTCTAAGCATTTACTTTGGAATGATTTCTTCTGAAAAATATAATGCATCCATCCCCTGTCGGCCCATTCCCTTGCTTGTAGACACAGTACAGTTGAGTTGTTAAAAAAGTTAACAACACAAAACATTTGCTTTAAAACTGATTTTAAAGCACAACTCTGCTAGGATTTAAATCTCTGCCACCCACAACCACTCTGTGTTAAAGCTAGAGACAGCACAGTGACTAAGAGCACTTGCTGCTCTTACAGGGGACCTGAGTTCAGTTTTCAGAATTTACCTAGTGCTTTACAACAGTCTATAATTCCAGGTCAAGGAAATCCAATGCCTTCTTTTGACGTCTGGGGGTAGGAAGCATGTATGTGGTGCGCATACATATACATATGCATAGACAAAACAATGCACATGAAGTAAAATAAATACATCTTTTAAACATACTATGCATTTTATGCTCTGTAGTTTGGAAGTTTCCACTTCTTATATATTAGGAGTTGATACAAAATAATAAAATGACAAGGTGTATAGAGTCAAGCTTCTTTGTTGATTTCCATCTTGGATGAAAAGTAAATAAAGGAAATATAGTAGTTTGCTGTGTCAATAATAGTCCATAGGCCATAATTGCAGAGTGGGAGGCACATTTCAGATTATTTCTGAGATGTCACCTGGCACCTGCCCAGGGCTGCTCAAAGAGCTCTGTTGTAAGCTGCTTATCTCTTAGATCCTGAATCTAGAGAGGGCAAAACCAGGCCTTCCCTCTTCCTTTGCAGTCCAATGAGAAACTGCAAAGCCCAACTCCACGAATTTCACTTTCAGAACCATTTATAAAACATAAAAATTATATAGGTAATATAAATGTCCCAAGTAAAACAATTCTTGTTTTGCATTTTAAAATTTAATAGTAGAGCATTTGATGGGTATGTAGTTAGGGGCGGCTTAGCTCCGTGGACTCATCCCTTTGAGATGAAGAAACAGGTCTGACCACAGAGTGGCTGAACACTGGGCCCTGATACAGTGTCCTTGTTGGCAAGGACCTCATTGAGGGAGATTCCATCCAGACTTCATTTAAAGTCCCCGGTTCTCAGCACTATGTACCAAGAGCACAGAGAGCCGCAAGATTAAATCCTGTTACTCTTTCAATCTTTTGGAAATAGACTTTATTCAGTCGGTAAATACTTTGAGGCTTTCAAGTGCCATTTTTTTTCATTTCAAATTTGAATGACACATATTTGATATTTTATATATTTTTCTGAAGCATATTAGTATCCCTTGTATACTCTATTGAAGACAGAGTATGCAGTCCCCAAAGCAGTAAAACAATATAGTTAACTTATCAAACATCTGCTTTGAGTCTTCTTTTGAAATAATTTTGCTGTACTTATTTTGGTTGTGAGAATGGAGAAAGGTTGTTTTTTGTTGTTTTTGTTTTTGTGTTTTTGAAAGAATGGATCCTATAGAGTGTGGAAGGCCTTCGAAACATGATTACACGGGTTTGGAAGTCAATTCATTTGAGTGGAGCTCTTGGACACTGC